TGAGCACTGCCCCCTAGAGTTGGGAATGACTAGCACATATGTGCGAGGGGAACCTTTACCTTTATATCCAACTTTTATTATTTTTATAAATAACTCAAGGCAGCAAACATACATAATACCCCTTTCTTCCTCCTATTTTCCCCATAACAACAAACCTGTGAGGTGATTTGGGCTGAGAGAGAGTGACTGGCCCAAAGTTACCCAGCCAACTTTCATCTCTTAAGACAGGAGTAGAACCAGGGGTGAAATCCAGCAGGTTCTAACAGGCTTTGGAGAACCGGTAGAGGAAATTTTGAGCAGTTCAGAGAACCAGTAGCAGAAATTTTGAGTAGTTTGGAGAACTGGCAAATACCACCTCTGGCTGGCCGAAGAGTGGGGTAGGAATGGGGATTTTGCAGTATCCTTCCCCTGCCATACCCACCAAGCCACACTACACCCACCAAGCTACACCCACCAAGCTACACCCACAGAACCGGTCTTAAAAAAAATTGGATTTCACCACTGAGTAGAACTCACAGTATCCTGATTTCTGGCCTGGTGCCTTAACCACTATATTAACCAACATAGTGGGAAATTACCGAAATGAGAGAATCCTGGCTCACTGAACTACTAAGCAACCTCAAAGTTGCTTCCTCGAAACAACCCCAATGACCAAAAAAAGTTTTTTTTTACAAATAGCAGCACTGATGCCAGAAAAAAAATTCCACCAGCTATTGCCCAGGGTCACAAAAATACACTAAATTAAAATAAAATTGCCCAGAGTGTCTGCCAGCCATATACATTTTACTAATAAATTCACTGAATAAGACTTAATAGTTTGGTTGACTCCATTTACTTATTGTGGGAAAGGCCATCCTATTAAGACACATTTTAGACGCTTAAATGTAGCATGCCCTATGAAAATAGCAAATCGAGCTTTATTAATCTGGTTTTTAGTACATTGGGTGAAGCCAGCCATTGTATTAAGCTATGATTTCATCCTGCTTTAATTAATGAATTATAATTGTTTGGGTTGGTGCAATACACCAAGCCCAAACCAGCGCTTCCTGTGTTGCAGAAACCCAGGCTACATAGCATAATATTAGAACCCGGTACTGAAAAGTTACATCCATGAAGTTTTAACATTGGGACTTACATTTGTGACTATCTTCATTTTTGTGCACGAAAGCAACTTATAACATAGTTACCTGCACAAGCAGCTCAGTTTAGTGAGTTCTATGGAGCATGTTCCTTTTTCAGTGAAATTTTGCTTTTTTTTTTTCCTGCCTACAATATAAGCACGTACAGCCAGCTCAGCAATCAGCAAAAATGAATGTATGTGGTGGTAGCAGCATACAGGACAAGCATAAAACCAGTTGGGGGAGTTTTCTAAAAAGCTGATGCGTGTGGGGTGGGGGGTGGTATTGACTCTCAAAGCAACTCTCTCATTTTGGGTGCCTTTTGCAAATGTGAGGCTTGTTAGATGCTTTTTTCCATGGTGAGGGGGCAGTGGCCGGATTTCTGTCTGCTGTGTGTTTCCCAGCATGGAGGGGGAGCCCTGCTGCCAATCCCATTCTGCAGACTGAAATAGGAAGGAAATTCCTTCACTCAGAAATACCTCCTAGGATTTGAGCCCCAGCTGCCCTGGCTCAAATAGATTTTACTCCCGGAAAATGTGCCATGCCTTCCTGCAGTAAAACTATGCTGCACAATAAGGTGCTTTTCTCTCCCTCCACTTTTTTTTTTTTTCACCCTGTTCAAAATTGTTCCTTTTTTGTTTTAAGGAAGCAATAAATCGATAAAAGGAGAAATCAATTAAAAGGGAAAGAGATGGGAATGAGAAGCAAACAAAATTTCTGAAAAGCCACTTCTTGCTTTGCCTGTTCTGGATCTTTGCTGGGTCTTCTCCTCTCTGCTGTCCATGAAGCAGCACTCTCCCTGCTTCCCTCCCCGAATAATCAGAAAGCTTAGCCTTAGGAGGTCAGGTCATTATGTCCCCAAACTGCTCTGCCTGTACTTTTGGGATAGCCTGTCAGATCCATGTAGTTCATCCCTAAAACGCTTGAAATCCTGAACATTTCAAGATATACACCGCAATCTGTTGATGTGGTCTTTAAAAAAAATGCAGGGATTTTTGCTACCGGTTCTCTGAACCACCTGCCTCCATCGTTATCAGATCAGGTGATCCGGTCCGAACCGGGAGCATTTCACCCCTGGTTGAAACCATCCCAGTGCAGGCTGGAATAGATATATGTTTAACACCTTATAGGCTAGGACTGACTCATTTCGCACAGCAAAGGTTTCCAGAAATATAGAGGGATTGCACCCAAAAAATATTGTCACATCCTTTCCATTTTCCACACCCTTCAATGGTTTAGAAGAGAGCATGGTTAATCCTAAAGATCCAGCCCACTTTTACGCAGGTAGTCCACAATGTACAACCACAATTGGGACCAGAATTTCCATTGTATTTGTGCCCGATTTTATTATCTTTTTTTGTCATGGCTGTTAAGCGTATCACTTCAGTTAAGTGAATCATGCAGTCATTAAACGAATCTGGCTTCCTCCATTGACTTTGGTTGTAGGAAGCGGCTGGGAAGGTCGCAAATGGCGATCACAAGACCCTGAGACGCTGAAGCCTTCATAAATATATGCCGGTTGTCAAGCACCTGAAGGCTAGCTGGAGAATTCTGGGAGTCTAAGGTTGAGAAACATTTGGTCTTAGACATCAAGGCCTTATGCTTCAGAGCAGGGGTGTCACACTGGATTTCTTTGAGGGCCAGATCAGCATTGTAGTTCTCCTCTGTGGGCCGGCTGGCCTGGGGGAGGTGCTGGTGGTGTAGGAGATGGGACGGATGCCCCTTGAAGCACCCTGCTGGCCAAAGTGCCCCCCCCCGTGCCCCATTTTCTGCCTGGACGGCCTCCTGCAGCACTTTGACGGCCAAAACAGGGCATGGGGGACCTGTTTCAGCCGGCAGATTGGTGCAGGAGGCCGTCCACGCCAAAAACAGGGTGTGGGGGCGCATGCACCCCCCTGCGCCCCATTTTGGTTGCCAGAGGCACTGTGGGCCAGTTCTTTGCTATTTCCAGGCTGGCCCCGTAGGCCAGATTTAAGCACTCCACGGGCTGGATCCTTGAGTTTGACACCCCTGCTTCAGAGGAATTTAAAAATCTCAGCCATTAAAACTCGGCCCCTAACCAGATCTGGCCCCATTCAGTTGGTGTACTGCGCAAAAGATTGCTTGCTGCTGAGCTGGACTAGGGTTTATGTCAGGTCACTGACTAATTGGATAGAAAATCTCTCAAAGACACCAAAAAAACCCATCTGGATCCATGGAAAGTGAGCTCTTCCTATTCTGCACAGACAGCCTGTAATCCAGAAGTGATTGGATAGGAATTTGTCCATAAAAATGGGGTTAACTCAACTATAAAAGGTTACCTAAAGGTTCAGCTTGTAGTTTTCCCCACAAGCATTACTCTACAACCATTTTTTTTTAAAAAAAAAGTATTTTCATGCATGCTTGCAATCATGGATAAGGTGAAGGGAGAAGAAGGGTTTGAGTAATATCAAGGTTTCTTGGCAAGGCTTCAAAGCCTCCCCAGGCGAATGCCGGTCCTTAAATTTAAGGCATGAAACAAGTTTTGTAACTTGCATAATTTCACAGATCTGCAAAGTTCACCTGTCCCTGTTTGTTGCTCAATGTGGGTTCCTTGATATTATATATATATATATTTATTTATTATTGTGGCTTAAATAAATGCACACTAAGCAAAAAGATTCTGCTGATAAATGCATGGAACTTCGTAGAGAACATGCCTAGCCAAATTTCAAGAAAAATCCCAAACAGGGAGATAGTGGAAGTTCCTGTTTCCTACTGAGCGGCTGCTTTAAATGAAACAGCCTTCAAAATTGTGGTAAGGCCAGCCAGGTGTCGCAGATGGCCCCAGGTGCTGCAGAAAAGAAAGTGGCATTTTCTCTGGTATGGGCAGTCAGAACTGTGGTTTTATTTTAGAAAAGAGTATTAATAACGTGTGAATAGCTCCACTGCTATAGTTTGCAAAATTGCAGGCAAAGTACAGGCTGCTAGAAAGTACATCCTTTCTCCGTAATCATTCCTTCCTCATTCTACCCCTCCCCCCTTTCATTTTTAGTATGTATTTCTTTGCATTCCAAGACAAGACTGTATTATAAATACTTGGGTGTCTCCAAGTATAAATACTTGAGGCTACTGGCCTGTACTGGGATTGGAGCAGGGGTGGGTTCTACTTACCTTTACTACCAGTTCGCAACGGGATCGCTTCTGCGCATGCGCAGATTGCTTCTGATGATGTCAAGGTCAGTGGGCGGAGCCTCCTGCCGGTTTTACTACCAGTTCTATAGAACCTGTCCGAACCGGGGGCAACCCAGCACTGGATTGGAGGCCAAGTGAGTGGAGCAGAGGGAGAATCTGTGAAGGGTTAGCTGTCCTGTCTGACATGGTTTCTAAGCAACATGCATTAGGAGAAGTAAATCTTATTAAAAGTATCTAGAGGACTTTCAGGACATGGTGTTCACCATCACAGGGCTTCTAAATTATCTCCAGGATATAAGACTGAAACCTGCGCCATCAGTTGTGGCAATTTTGCCCGGCGGTTCAACACCAATACCAGTTTTAACCTCAGCGAACTGAAGAGGGCTACTTCTGAATCGCCTTCCGGAGAAAAAAAAATTGAATTTTACCTCTGCCACAAGTTGCCTTGGTAGCCTTTCATTAATGTGGGGGGGTTTTTTTGTTTGTTTGTTTCCCTAAGCATAATAATGGTTTTCCTTTCAGAGTTATTTTCTGTGTTCTTCCAACTTAAAAGAACTGCATATGATGTACTTCATAGAAGCAGAAACGGTACACAAATATTGTTATCATGAGAAAACTATTTAGCAAATAAAAATCTGGATCCTGGTTGATGTCGGAATGCAGCATCCTAGTGATCGTTGCTTTGCCCAACACTTTTTGCTCCTTTCCACTTTTTCCCCCCAACAATAGGGACCCCTGTGAACCGAATCCCAATCATGGCCAAGCAGGTGCTGGATCTTTATATGCTCTACGTTCTGGTGACCGAGAAGGGAGGCTTGGTGGAAGTGATCAACAAGAAGCTGTGGAGGGAGATCACCAAGGGTCTGAACTTGCCCACCTCCATCACCAGTGCCGCCTTCACACTGCGTACCCAGTAAGTCACAGGAGGTGCCTTCCCCAACCTGATTTCAGGGTGGGCCAAGCAAGGCATTTGAGGAGGGAAAGAGGAAGAATTTGTTTTAGTGGAAAAATGACTGTCATGCATGAAGACTATACAAGAATAAATGGAGGACTCTCTCCCAGTCCAGTAAGAAAAAGATTCTAATAAAGGAGAATATTCGTAGCTCAGGATTGAAATGAGGGGTCCTTGGTGCTCTCATTGCCCAAACTAGGTAACATCATCAGTACTTTGATGGGTAATGAAACATCTGCAAGAAAACAACCAAGCTCAGAGAGTACCAAGGACCCCCTCAAGAAACAGATTACTTTTTGTTACCCTCTGCAACTGACCTGCAGGAAATTCCCCAGACTGGGGAACAACCATACTGATTTGAGGTAATTGGAGTTGTATACAGTATGTATGGATAGCATCAGGCTGAAAAGGCTTGCATATCAAATGCAGCCTGCAGAGAAGGCCGGCTATTTTGCCCCCAGAATTTTAATTTATAGAAAAGTGATCAGTTCCAGTACATTAAAAGGATAAATGTGTCCTGATAACCATTATCTATTTTATGTAGAATCAGAAAATAAGAGCCTTCCACCTTGTTCCACCCTTCCTCTCTTTCTCTCTGACTTCTTTCAGTTCCCTTCCCCCATCTTTTCATCCACCCTAATCAACACTAAAGTTAATTACTCTGGAATTCAGAAAACCAGGTGGCGGAAGGGGATTGGGGATTGAGGATGGGGGGAGGAGTAGAAGGAGAGCTATTAACTTTTTAAAAGCCGGGAGCCTTTAAGAGAATGCCACCAGCATTTTTTCACCACTAGTGCAGATCTTGGAAATGGAAGTGTCTGGATTTTGCAGCATATTATCCTGAGCATCTAATAAACAGGGAATATTGATCTGAAATATTTATTTGAAACATCTTTCCTCTCCTCCTCAATTTAGTAGGCTCCAAGAAAAGTTTCCAGAACAAGGAATCAGACACAACTGATGTCCTTGACATTGGATTGTTTGTTTGTTTATATCCCACCTTTATTATTTTTAAAAATAACTCCAGGTGGTGAACACACACAATGTTCCTTCCTCCTCCTCCTATTTTCCCTATAACAACAAGCCTGCTAGGTGAATTGAGCTGAAAGAGAGTGGCCCAGAGTCACCTGCCTAAAGTGAACTCACAGTCTCCAGGCTGTGAAAAGGGAGAAAAGCCAATGTGGATGGAATGAGAATATTAAGTTTTTTATTAACGACTGGATTTTTTATTAGCATAGCTGGGTACATAGCACTTCATTGAAGATTCCCAATCCATGATGGAGGAATCAGCCAATCAAAATTTGCCAGATGTATCAGAAGGGCAGAGTCTAGTTGTTAAGGCACCAGGCTAGAAATCAGGAGATGAGTTCTAGTCCTGTCTCTCTGAACGGTTGCTGAACAAGCAGTCACTAAGCAAGGACTACTCATATTGCTCTGGTAGACAGAATTGTATAAATTCAGCAGTGTCAAACATTGGCAGATTTAAAATATAATTTTTTTAAAAAATGCTGCTGTTTGTTGGGCTTCTATTAAATTAAGCAGCCATAATTTTTGTGTATCTCTCTTTTTTGTCTTCAAAAGGTATATGAAGTACTTATATCCGTACGAGTGCGAGAAAAGAGGGCTGAGCAACCCCAATGAACTCCAAGCAGCCATTGACAGCAACCGGCGAGAGGGCCGTCGGCAAGGATTCAGTGGTTCAATCTTTACCTATTCTCCCAGTGGCACTCACACCATGTTGTCTTCACCCAAGCTTCAAGTACCAACCTTGGGACTGACCTCAGCCACTAATGGCAGCCCCATTGCCCCTGTTCCAAAAATCAAGAAAGGTAACTATTTGCACCTTCTCTTGAGAGAGATGTTTTGAACATTTCAAGGAGTTTTCCTGGTGGCTTCTACTCCCACAATCCCTAGGGGCTGTGCTGGGCTAAAGATTGTGGGAGGATAAGTTCAAAGACCGGAGGGTACCAGGTTATGGAATTTCTTTATATTTTCATTTAAGCATTGCAGATGTAATTAACTGGTGCTGAGTTGCAGCGAATTTAGTATGCTGATCTCTTAATTAGCAGGTGGGGCTTTTCACATCAAATATAATGGGAAAATTAGTGGAGGAGAGGCTTTCTAGCACCTCAAAAGTAGTCATTAAAAGTTCTATTAGTGCCCTTGTCTGCTGTTTTCTTAAAAAGATGGTATATAGGTGGTCTTCACTTAACAACCACTTCAATGACCGTTTGAACTTAGGATGGTGCTAAACAAGTTCTTACAACCAGTCCTTGTATTTAAGATGGTCACAGCGTCCCGCAGTCACACGATGGCCATTTTCAACCTCCTTTGCTGGTTTCCTTCAATAAAAAAAAAAAGGCAATGATAAGTTAGCAGGAGGTTGCAAATGGCAACCACGTGATGTCCTTGCTTAATGATCCATGGTAATTCACTTAACAACAGCAACAGAAGTGCTAGAATTTCTGTTGCTAAGTGGCACAGTCATGACATACTTTACAAATTTCATTGCATAGCAAAGAAATTTGGGGTCCTGTTATTAAGTGAGGACTACTACCTGTACAGGAAACTTTGGGAGAAAGGCAGTTGACTTGGGTCTCACATACGTAGCCCATCCAAAGAATTTGAAATGAGGACGTGACTAATGCGTTTCATTGCCTTGAGTGAAAAGTAATTCGTTAAAATATTATCTAGAATCACATATTCTCATTTACTGGATCACTGACTTAATCCAGGTTAATAAAAACAAGGACAAAGATATCATTAACATAAAATGCTGTGAGAAAAAAGGATTTGTTCGGGGGTGGTACAAATGAACGTTTTGCTCCTGTTAGGCTCTGCCTTTGTAGTTGACTTCAAAATGATGTAGTATATATTTTTTTGCTCTTTGTAGTAGGTTTCCTAATTCTCCCCAGCTAGAAATACTGTTCTAAAGTTCACAGCGGCCAGATCAAGAATGTTCTAACTAGGTTGCATGCATCAGTAAAAATCCTACTTGTTTAACACAAGCAGCTTCATTCAGGCATAACAGAGGGGAGAAGCTCCTTAATCCTTTTTGGGTGATGACTTTTACCTGTAAGGACACTGCCTAAATCAGCTAATGTTTACCCCCAGATTTGGTGCCGACTGCCGAGTCTAAAAGTTGATACCTAATGAAATTCTGCAGACTGGGTTTTTGGGCTCAGGACATCTGAAATCTTGCTGATAAAGATGCTGCAGAGGGAAACATTAAATTGGGTGTCAAACTTGATTTCATTGAGGGCCGCAACAGGGTTGTGTTTGATCTCGGGGGCTGGGTGGGTGTGGCCACCTCGACGTCATTTGTGTCAGGGGCACCTGTGGTGGCCCAAGCGCTTTGCCAGCGAAAACAGGCTCCCGAGCTCCGTTTTCGCTGGCAGAGGGTTGTAGGAGGCCTTCGCAGCCAGAAACGGAGCTTGGGAGCCCATTTTGCTGGCAGAGGCACTGCAGGCCAGTCCCTCACTGTTTCCAGGGTGGCCCCGTGGGCCAGATGTGAACACCCCATGGGCTGGATGTGGCCCGCAGGCCTTGAGTTTGATACCCCTGCATTAAACGAACACCAGAGTTTAGAGTCCCTTTTCCATGGGAAAAAAAGCTAAAATGGGCCAGATGGAAAGGCTTCATTGTGTAAGGAATAGGACTGTGCTCTTTTCTTTTAGAAGAAAGACTGCAATTCTTGAAGAAGTACAGCACCTCTAGTATTCATAAAAAAAGCTCATCCTTTTTTTTTTTTTTAAAGATTCCATGTGAGCCTTAAAAAAGCAGCTGCAGCTGCTTTAAGGATTGCATTAATTTAAGTTTAATTACTTCTGTTAAAACTACCTTCCTGAGATTATGGGAGCAGTCTCCTCGAGAGAGACTATAATTTTACCGGCTGCACCTATTTTGTGTGTGTGTTTTCTTTTTAAAAAAAAGGAAAAAAAAAAGCCCTAGAACTATTGTAGTCATCTCTCCCATCACTTTCCCCCTCCCCCCCACACCAGAGGAAGATTCTGCAATTCCTATTGCGGTGCCCACCCGCCTACCGGTCTCACTCGCAAGCCATCCTGTCGTCGCAGCGCAGGCTGCAGCTGTGCAAGCCGCCGCCGCCCAAGCTGCTGTAGCTGCTCAGGCGGCAGCGTTGGAACAGCTACGGGAGAAGTTGGAATCGGGGGAGCCGCCAGAAAAGAAGATGGCACTTGTGACAGATGAACAGCAGCGTCTGATGCAACGGGCAATCCAGCAAAACTTGCTCGCCATGACCGCTCAGCTGCCGATGAGCATCCGGATCAATAGTCAAGGGGCCCGCTCACCAGGTCGGTGGGTTGCTGCATGTTCCCTCTCTTTCCCCAAAGGTTGATAGCCATACCAGACATGAGGTGGAGATGGATGGAAGCCATGTACCTCGGGCCCAAGAATTGCTCAGGATTGCCTCGTATTGGAGCCTGAAGCTCGTAACCACTGCGCCAACGACGGTGGCGCAGTGGTTAGAGTGTAGAACTGCAGGCTGCTACTTCTGCTGACTGCCTGCAATTTGGCAGTTCAAATCTCACCAGGCTCAAGGTTGGCTCAGCCTTCCATCCTTCCGAGGTCGGTAAAATGAGGACCCAGATTGTTGGGAGGCTTTATGCTGACTCTGTAAACCGCTTAGAGAGGGCTATAAAGCACTGTAAAGCAGTATATAAGTCTAAGTGCTCCTGCTGTTGCTATTCAGGGTCTTACCAATCGCAATAGGGGCCGGAACCTCTGTCACTAAGCAGTATGGTCATTAAATGAGAACATCTCATGACCGCGACTGGCTTCCCCATTGATTTTGCTGGTCAGACGCTCACTGTGAAGGTAACGAATTGTGATAATGCATGCTGGATCCAAGTGCTTGAATCAGGATCACAGGACTACCCTGCACTGGCTTTAGCTTTAAGGAGCACCTGTCTTTAAGTTTGAACAGCCCCTGAATGATATGGGTCAGTGAGGACTACCTGTAGTCAACACTCCCATTAAGAAAGGATTTTACAACTATTACTGAAGGAGAAAGTTATGATTCCATGGTTAGAAAGTTTATTTTCCAAGTTATGGTCTTCTGTTTTTATTGTATGCTGCTCAGAATCATGTTTTGTGAGATGGGTGGCTATGTACAGTAGTACTCAACTTAAGACCAGTCACTTAACATTTCAAAGTTATGATGCCCTCCCAAAAGCTACTTATGATCCATTTTTGAAGTTATGATGGCCACATAACACATACCCCACAATCACACAATAGCATTTTGCCAGCATATTTGGTAATCAGCTCACCTTTATGGCTCTTTGCAGTGTCCTGCAGTCATATGACTGTGATTTGCAACTTTTCTGGCTGGTTTCCGGAATTTACTTCTGGTTTCCAGCAAAAAAGGAGCCTTCGGGGAAAATTAATTTGCTTTATGACTGCAGCATTTGCTTAACAACTACAGCGCTAGCTTAATAACTGTTGCAAAAATGTTTTTTTTTTACAAAAATTCAAGTCTAGTCACATAATGCCTCAATTTACAATCATAATGACTTACGATTGTAATTCCAGGCACAACTACAGTCATAAGATGAGGACTACTTGTAAATGTGATGAATAAAAATAAATATGGATTACCATCATTTACAGAGTTTTAAAAACTCTGTAAATGATGTAAATCAAACAAGTTTGCATTATTCCTTTCATTTCTGCCAGCTGTATGTTTTCTGCATCATTTTATCCTGCTTTAACTGAGTGCTCTGTAGGCGTGGCTTGGGGGGGTAATGTGACTGGGTAGGCGTGGCCATTAAAAAAAAAACTTTTAAAACCATTTTTTCTACAACCTCTTTGGCGAAGAGATTGTAAAAGAATGCTTTCAAAAGGCTCTGACGATCCCAGCTGAGTTGCCTGATTGGCAGAGGCTTTTTAAAAAAGTCTCTGCCAATTAGGCAACTCAGCTTGGATCGTCAGAGGCATTTAAAAGAAAAAAAGCCTCTGATGATCGCGCAGCTCAGCTGGGCATGGGGGGGGGCAGGAATTTTTGCTACTGGTTCTCCGAACCACCTGCCTCCATCGCTATCGGATCAGACGATCCGGTCCAAACCAGGAGCATTTCACCCCTAGGCCCCCCCCCCCCAATTCAGTGAGAACTGGTATCTTGTGTCTTTTTAAAAGTGGTCAGGATCTTTCTTTTTAACAAGATTTCAGCATATTCAGCTTATCCAAGTGGCTGAGAGATTGCCTTCATTTCCATTTACAATGTTTACATGCCCTTATTTTCAGCCTTGCCCATTTAATTTCCAGTTTATAAGCCAAGTATGTGTAGCCCCAAACTTAAGTTATTGATGCTTTAAGCTAATCTCTCGCCATACAAAGATCACTTTTTCTATCTTAAAAAAAAAAGCCATCTTTATTCTTTTGCAGAAAATCGCCAAGACTCTTCCATGAATCTAGCTGCCAATGGCACCAGTAGCATAAGCATGTCAGTCGAGATTAATGGCATCGTGTATGCAGGTAAGGGGAAAATGCAGTTGGGACTTAGAGAAAATGGTTGGCCATTGTGGCAAGAGTTGCTTGTTCTATAAACTGGGTCATGTATTGTTAAAAAGGTGGATGGCGAGCACCCAATCCCTAATCAAACAAGAAAGTTGGGGGAGGGGGCATGCAGTTTAGGAGTATTTTTTTTTTTTTAGTCTGCAGAGTGTATGGCAGAGACATGATATCATCAGAGAGGGAGTGGGCATGCACTGTTAATGCAAGCTTTTGATGACAAAAGAAAGCTACTAACATAAACTTATTGTGCTGATTTTAATCCTTTAAAAAGACAGAAACCCTTGAGTACTCCAGAGAGTGTTTGCAGCAGTTCATAAGCTGGAGGCTCCCCCCTGACATATTAAGAGAACCTCTCCGGTTCATCTTGACTTGGGAGGACTTCATGTCATTCTCCTGGCATTGCTTTATTGGGGGACGGGGTGTTTATTTGACTTTCCAATCCAGACTAAAGGTGTGGGATTTTCTAGTGGGCTCCCATCCAAGTTCTAACTAGATCAGACTCTGCTTAGCTTTTCACAATCAGCCAAGATTGACTAGCTGCTGCTATCTAGCATGACACATCTGCGCTAAGATGTAAAAACTAATGTGCTTACTCTAAAGTACTGCCCTCTTTAGTTAACCTTGGCATATTAATCCACATGGGTTACATTGCTTGAAAGATGATATTCTAGTTTGGTGGGCTTTTTTTTGAACCCCCAAAATAAGCGCTTGGCCTTATTTTCGTGGAGGTCTTATTATTTTGGGGCGCATGGAGCAAGACGGGGCTCCTCTTGCCATCTTACCTGATTTCCAGCTCTGTCTCCCTAACCCTAACCCAGGGGTCAGCAACCTGCTGCTCTGGAGCCGCATGTGGCTCTTTTACCCCTCTGCTGCGGCTCCCCGTCACTCAAAATATGCGTCACAACCACCAATGTGCAACACTCGCCCGGCACACGATTTATTGAGCTTTTCAACCCTCAGTAGGCCAATCTACATGAATAAACCCAAGAAAAGAAAAGTTTCAGAAGAAAACAGAATGTTTAATTCAACTACATATGCTAGTTTTGTGGCCACTCAAGAAATAATCAGGCACGGGAAGGGTTTTGTGGCTCCTGGTGTTTTCTTTTCTGTGGGAAACGGGTCCAAATGGCTCTTTGAATGTTTAAGGTTGCAGACCCTGCCCTAACCAGAAGAAATGGCGGGGACTAGCTGTGCATGCGATTAAATATTTTCAGGAAGGGCTTATTTTAGCACATGCGCTCAAAAGCCCAATCAGGCTTATTATCAGGGGATGTCTTATTTTCGGGGAAACAGGGTATATAGGGAGGTACAAAAAGACGGGCTGCAGGAAAAGAAGAGTTACAGCCATTGTGAACCTGCCCTGTCCATTTTTGTTCCCTGTTTCTTTCCAGGAGTGTTGTTTGCCCAAACTCCAGGAGCATCGTCTTCTCACAATAAAGGAAGCGCCAACAGTGGGCGGAGTTCCAGCAGCACTGGCAGTGGTGGCGGCGGGGGTGCAACAGGTGGCACGGCAGCAGGTTCCCAAGTCGGTGTGCCCCCTGCACCGACTTCTACCTCAACCAACTCCTTATCGCCTTAAACCCACCACACCTCTTCTTCCTCCTCCATCCCGCCAAAATGAAGACACTGTTTGGACAGGACATTTGAGACCGGCCCTCCCCTTCCCTGTTTCCCCCGTGTGCAGTGGGGGAGTTAAATTGTGCCTTCCCCACCCTCTGATACCCCTTAGGCATCAGGGCCTGCCTGATACATTTGGATGGGGTTTTCTTTGGATTTCGGGGCTGGATGGGGGTGGAATCAGTGATGAACCTTACCACACGTGGCATCCAGCCATGGACATTGAGGGGTAACAAGCATAGTGCAGGGGGTCCCTAAAGGTGCAAACTCCCCCCTCCCCACCCAGGCAGCAAGGAATTCAGGGATGGTACTGTCCTAGGATGGGACAAAGATTCAGAAAACAAAGTGCATTTTTCCAATGTAGCTGAAAACCAAACACCAAACAAAATTCAGGGGAAGTGGAGTACGTGGAATGATGGTTTTCTCCTGTCCTCCTTCCTCTGCTGGTTTTTTTCCCCCCCTTTCTCCCCTTTAAAGCATTTTTTACCCACTTGGTATTCTCTGTTTAGGGTTGTGCTCCATGGGGTTCTGGGCATTGCAGTTCCTGCATACCCAGAGGGCACCAATTTGGGGAAGGCTGTTCCTAGTGAATACATTGGAAAGAACAACCACACAAAAGTTAAGGGGGGTTGGAGGGGTGTTGTTAAATTCTGAGCCGGAGCAATACTGTGCAGACTTAGCTTTTTGACGTGATGCATTGTAGATCCATAACTCCTTACCTCATGCAAATCCACACTTTTGCACTGTGTGTCCTTTTGATTTTGATTTTTGTTTTTTTTTAAGTTATTCTTTGGGATACCTCCAGACAAGTAGTGCTGGCGGCAGTAGCAGCTGGTGTGCCTCCATTCTCACGGGCTTGCTTTTGAAATGGAACCCTAAATAAAAAAAAATATATGCAGATATCAAGGATTTCACAGATGGAGGATAATTTGGGGAAAGCTTTATTCCTTGCCTTTTTTTTTTGAAAACTGCTGTCAAACTATTTATCGAAAACGAAAGGGAGGGTGTAAATACAGTGTTTATTTTCAATAGATCTCTCTCCTCCCCCCCAAATCGGACCCACAAGCAAGTTTTCATGTCTTTGCATTTGTTAAGGAAAGCACCTCTAAAATAGGTTATCTTTTTTCCTTGTGATGATAACAACTCCTTGGAGCTGTCCCGACTCTTTCTTCCTCTCTTCCCCCCAGATCTGGGTAGGGCTTTGAGGGTGCTCAGGTAGTTTTTTGTGTGTGGAGTGGGTGGGGTTTGAGGGGCTATGGTAGCATTTCATAGGATAATATTTTTATACAGAGCTGCCCCCACCCCACGTATGGATTGTACGTTTGTGAGAATGAGGACTGAAAGGAGCAGCCTGCCAGCTGTTTAATTGTTGGCTCTCTTCTAATTCTTTATCTTAACCCACACAAGATTTCGTCTGTCATATGGTCAGAGTGGCTGATTACTTCGGAGGTTTCTTAAAAACAATTTAAATAGTAGCATTTACCTGTGGCATAATCTCTGCAAAGCTGCTTTTGTCTAAGCTTCTTTTCAAAGCATACCTATTTAGAAAACAGAAGAGAGTGGCATAGTCATCATCATGACTTCTCTCAGGCGGGTGGGAATTATAACTGGGGGTGCACTACAGGATCCCCAAAGACAGTTCACAATCAACTTGCAGCTACTAATATTTTTTTTAAAAAACCCTTCTTTTTTCTTCTTTGAAGACCGTAATTTGTTAGAAAGAGCGCTAAACTCCTCAGACTGTATTAAGATTGGCTTCCTTGCTAGCTCTCAGATATGTTTGGAACATAAGAAATTAGAAACTTGTTACAGGTTGTCCTGTGCCTCCAAAGGTAGTTTTAGCAAAGTTTGCCTAAATACTACACAGGGTTGCATTGGATTCTACCAGTCTCCAGTGTTGTTGGGATCTTCATGGTACTCCAGAATCACTCCTGCCGTATTTATAATTTCATTTATAAGGAATCGAAGGGTCTGCAGGACGAATACCCTCCATTATTTCTAACAGAGATCACTCCATTTTTGCCCCTTAGCTTAGTCTTCTAGCATCCTTTCTTTGACTAGCTATATTTGGGTTTGGGTTTAGAACAGCTGAGTGAGAGGCATCTACCTAGATTCTCTCCCCCCACACACACACACACCTGCTTTTTGCAGTAACAAAGAAGGTGACAGGAACAGTTTGATCTGCAGGTCCTCTGCAAATATAGAAAGGTAGCTCGGAAACAACATATTCGCAATCTCAAAAACCACTGTTTTTTAGGGCCACCGTTTTCAATTTTTCTTTTCCTTCTGGCCTCTTCCTTTAATGCATTTTAGGAAAACAAATTTCCTTTGGAGTTCGGCGTTTTCATTTCATTTTGCAAAAGACCAGTGAATCCCAATAACATCAACAAAAGATAATTCCTCATCCGCCATCGCAAAGGCTCTGTGGCTTATTTTGATGGGGGTTTTTTCCCCTCCCACATTTTAATTTGCTGCTGAGGGAAGTGGACCCTGGTGAGCAATTTGGTTAATTCCCTCTTTCGATTCTCCTAGGTATATGCACTCCAATTCACTCCCTTCGTGCCCTCTGAAAGTATAATTTATTTCAGCCTGTGCAGTTAAACGACTGCCGCTTTCAAAGAAACGGGGCCTCTGTTAGAGAGACCCTGTTTGTGGATTTACCATGCGAGATGAGACAGAAGCTTGAAAACTAGGCAGACATAATTGGAGGATGTTGCTTTATCACTGACGTCCTCCCAACGTTAAACACATATTGTAGAGCAGGGGTCTCCAAGCTTGGCAACTTTAAGACCTGTGGACTTCAACTCCCAGAATTCCCCAGCCAGCTGGCTGGGGAATTCTGGGAGTTGAAGCCCACAAGTCTTAAAAGTTGCCAAGTTTGGAGACCCCTGCTGTAGAGTCAAGATTTCATTTTGGCAGGTTTTAACGTCAGGCCATCTTTTGTATTAGGCCTTCAGACCCGCCACATTTAACTACTGTGGGAAACGGGGAGGCCTGAAGGCCTAATACAAAAGATGGCTTCCAGGCCTGACATTTAATTTTCTATGTGGTTAGTTTTGTGGAGTTTTGAAACAGGCGTATGTTCTTTCTGCCTCTTCGTTGCTGGGATTTTAATGCTATCACTTGCATCATACAAAAGACTTGACATGTGGCAACCCTTCCCTTTAGGGCTGGTTTTTTAAAGTTGAGATTCTGAGATACTGTAATTGATTCAGCATAACGGAAAGTATTTGAGTTAAATGTCAGTGTTTTCAAGCAGGAGGCATGCATTTTTCCCCTGAATAACCCGTTTCAGCCCATTGGCTGTGTTGGATGACCCAGACACGAGGAAACCTTGGCAAGGGAGTGTTGGGAAATGGGAGTCCCACATTTCTGATCGGATGCCAAAGTAGTAAGGGCTAAGCCTTTGTGGAGTTGTGGATCAAGCAGTTTTTGGGCATGCTAAGAATAGGAAAATTCAGCTTATCTTCAGGTTCCACAAATGCCGAAAAGGAGTGCACTTCATTTTGGGAAGCAGAGTGTCCTGGCCAAGTTGAGCAGTTTCCCACAGTTACAGATCCCAGGCACTTCAATCTATTTTGGGGCCTTTTATCGTAGTTCAGCTTTTCAGCATCTCCCCTCTAAATGCCAGATAAGGTGAAACCCCTTGGTTACAATGGCTCCAGGTCTAGAAACATGGGGCAAAGCATGGCATCTCTAAATGGTAGAGGAGGAAGATGGGTTCATTTTCTGAGATGAATGGAGGGCTCTGAGCCCCACAAGCTGCCACACGGGGAATTTTTCCATTCTCAGGATAGCAGAAGATATCTCATAGAGGGGGGAAAAAAGACCTTTGGAAAGTGAAATCCAGGACATTGTCTCCTAAGAGGTGTAGAGGAACTGCAAAGTCGCTTAAATATGAAAGGGAGAAGGGGGGAAAAAAGTGCTCTTAAAGGCTGAATGTAACCCTTTTTAGATGGGACAAACCATTCTTTTTCTCTCTCGTCTGCTTCCAGGACTCTGTTGACACAGGGAGGGGAATGCAAAAAAAGGAGGGAACATGGCTGTCGTCAGGCTCACTTACAAAAAAATGCTTTTCATTAGTTAAATGCTGACTGGGTTGGAGGAGGAAGAGGCACATTTCTCTTTCCACTTATGGTCATTGCCAGAGGGTTTATCTGTGACCCATTGGCAGCCAAAGGGAGGAGAGCATTGGGACAAGCATCCCTCATCATTTCATCTATGTTCTTTTTGGTCTGATAACAGGGTGGTATCGCATCCCAGTCTGGAAGCATTCCTTCCCCCTGGAATGCCCTGCCACTTGAAGACTTTCTCTGAAGACTAACTATGAGATTCGAGCCTTTCCCTTCGTGCCTTCACCACAATTCTTGGTGTTTTCTTGTGTTGTGCCCCGAATTGGCATTCCCCAACATGATTCCTTCCAAATGTGATAAGGACTCCATCTCCCAGAATGCCCAGATAATGTGGTGTAAGATCACTCTAGGAATTCCGGGAACTGGAGGGTGTCCAGCTAGGGAAGACTTGGTGTCTAAAGTTTCTGTGAGATCTGGAAACTTGACTGCCCCTTAGTTTTTCTGATCCAATCCACCCAGTACATTTCACTGAGTGGAACCAGCTGAAAGCATTTTGAGACCTTTTTCTGCAGAAGCAAGACTATTTGAGAATATGCTTCATTGAGTTTTTAAAGCAGAGTTCTCAATCTTTGTGGAAATTTAATAGGCTAAAATGGCTAAAACAGTCGTTTTCTAGATTTTGTGTCTGAGGTGGGTTTTGTAAGTATGGCAATGAAGAAATCTCTACTTCCTCCCAGAAAAACCTTGAGTCATAATTGCCAGTAAGGTCCATCAGTATCTATATTCTCTGCCACATAGCCAGAATTTTCTATTTTTGTTTCTTTCATCTCCTGTGCGAGTCTTGATTGTTTCCTATCAGAGCTTTCTTGTAAAAATACAGGTGGTTTGTTTTTTTATTATTCTTAAAATGATCATCCAAATTTGACTCGAGATCCATGTTCCTGCAGGCCATGCCCAAGATAGAATTTTGTGCAAAATTGTTCTGCTACATTCTTTCCTTAAGCAAGTTATCCCTGGTTTAACCTTAGCTATAGGTAGGAAATATCTAACAATATAGTTGTGTGCGGAATATATTGGCTACCAAGTAGATAAAAACATTTCACACAGGGCAGAGAGACGGGAGGAATTGCTCCTATATTCTTCATTGTTCTGTGAAAAAAAAATGTCTTTGCTAGATTGGTTAAAAGGAGTTAAAGCAGCCTTTTTCTGGTGACATATGAATCCTTGTTCTCCTACCTCTCTTTCATCCCCAACGGGAACTATGTTTACCTAACTGCTGGATAGACCAACTTCTTCCAGCAGCATAGAGAGTATTTAACAAAGAGGCAATTGAGGTAGCCATCTTGTCAAAGTTTAGGCCAAGCACTGTTCCCACCTCTGTTGGCAGCTTGTTGTTGTAAGACAAAGGCCCTGTTACCTTCCTTTAGTAACATAGCATATGCATAAGTGTCTTTCTCGTGTTTGCTGCTCCATTGTAGGAGCTGCAATTCAAGTAATGAACCATAATTTCCTGTTTCACTTGAATAGGGAAAATAATGGTTATTAGCTTTGGAATAAAGTAGGATATTAACCCAGCTTCAAATAATGCTTTAATGTCCCAGAGTATTCCAGCTTTTAGTGATCAGTTCAAATGACAGGGAAGCTGGTTAAATA